GGGGGGTCACGTCTGTGGGACACCATCAGGTACTGAGATCTAAAGGCTGGAAGAGAGCAGCATTGTGTCACTAGAATCCATAAAACAGCTTAAACTATATACTGGCTGACCAGGTACACATATATGCCATTACTGACTGAGTACACACACTGCACCACTGCTAACTGATAACTCCCCCCAAATATATGCCATTACTGACTGAGTACACACACTGCACCACTGCTAACTGATAACTCCCCCCAAATATATGCCATTACTGACTGAGTACTTGTTCTGACATGAACCTAGTAATGGTATATCACATCCGCTAGTATATCCCATTAACCAGCCAGTACTTGTTCTTACATGATATCTAATTACTGAGTGAGTATTCATCCTCCCAGTATATCACATTCCTGACCGAGTACTTGTCCTGACATGATATCCCATTACTGAATGAGTATTCATCCTCCTAGTATATCCCATTCCTGACCGAGTACTTGTCCTGACATGATATCCCATTACTGGGTACATGTCCTGCAAGTATATTATTACTAACTGCACTTACGGCTGCAAAAAAAAACAAAAAAAAAACGATCGTTTGGAGATATTGTGTAAAAGCTAAACATAACTTTAATCTGATGGTGAGACAGACTGATAAACACTGATTACTGTCACCAGGCCAGGGCCTTGTCACATGACCACAGACGCCAAGGACAGGGCCGACCAGACCACACAGGGTAACACTGCAATGGCAAAGCAAATTCATCTGGCTAGAGGTGTCACCGAGAGGGTGGCGGGACCCGGGAGCCAATCAGTGCCTAGCTACCTGGAGCCATCTGCTTTAACGAGTGCAGGAAACAGGACAGAGCATGCTAAGACCCCAGGGGCACCCAGATGCTCATTCCACCAAGGGCCACAGTTAACTCGTCTGCCTTCCTGTGATTGGATGGCTGCCAAGTAGAGCAGCAGGGAAGCTCCTGATTGGCTGGGGGGGGTCTTTGCATTTGAGGAAGTGTTTTCAGGGATATCTGTAGGAGGTTCCCCAGGAGGAAAGACATTCTTTAGGAGAAATATTTGCTATCTGGACACAATTAAATCAACAGCCTGACTGCAGTATCCATCGGATCCGGATTTAGAAGAAATTTAATCAGGTTAATGAGATACCCAGCACCACACAGCGACCGGCTCCCCGCGATGTCACATCTGTCACGGCCCGTTCTGGGTACCCTGATTGGTCCACCGGGATAGCGTGTGACCAGCATGCTGCATCACGCCTCCATGGCGACAACCCCACGTGCCACCTAGCGAATCTGTCCCTCAAATCTGACCCAGAGCCTTTTCCTCCAAGCCAGCCGGATATTTATAATCAATCACAGCTCATACCCCCAAAGAGGAGAGGCCCAATAAAACCCATCAAGCGATCTACCGCAAAAAAAAAATTAATACAAAGCGAACAACTAAAGAATAAATAACAGCCTGTACCCCTCCTTTCCATTTCCACAATTAATTTCACTACGACGCAGAAAAAAATAGTTTGCATCTTCCAGAAAGGATATTATTGAAACTCCACATCAGTCTTTATTCAGAAGAGAACTATTTAACTGAAGAGAACCTATTATGAATAATAGTCAAATCAGGACACAGTCATAAACTAGAGATCTGAATGATGAGTGTGGTTCCAACTACAAGATAAATCTTATTTTATGTGCAGCAGTAAATAAGTGTAGCACAATTAGATTTTCAATCTTAGATAGCGAATATTTTTAGTCTTACAGCCGGATTTGAGATGGTCAGGTGACGCTATAGGCAGCCGCAGAGGAGAACTTCGGAAACAGGCAGCGTGCAAAGGGGTCTCCCCAACGCCATGTTCCCGAAAGACAGCCCAAGGTCAGCGGGGCGAACGTCCACAGGAGCGCGGCTGCCTCTTACCGCCCTCGGGGGCGGACGGGAGCGCGGCTGCCTCTTACCGCCCTCGGGGACGGACGGGAGCGCGGCTGCCTCTTACCGCCCTCGGGGACGGACGGGAGCGCGGCTGCCTCTTACCGTGGAAGTGAGGCGCTCCAGAGCCTTCATCTGGAGGATCTCATTGCAGATATCCCGCTTCTCGTCGCTCTTCTCTTCAGGCCTGGAGCGACACGCGCACACGTGACTTCAGAGGCGCCAGCATCCCGCAGGAAAAAGAAACGCAACATCTGCTGAAAAACATTTTTTTTCCAAACGCTTCTAGTACTTCCCACCTTCGCAGATTCATTTTGCGTTCGTGTCACAGAAAAAATACATACAAAATACGTACATGTCTGACCTTTTCCTACATCGTTAACTGGACATCTGATATTGAGAGGACACTGCGTACGATGGTGGAAGTCAGAGGGGGGCAGGGTTTGAGCAGCGTCTTGAAATAACTCGCACACACCCCTGTGAGCCAGCGAGCTGCTGTTTCCAGCTTTTGGGACAAGTAAAGGTGTGATCTGCTGGTTTCAGCTGGATGCTATTTATACCCAAGGAACCGGCGGGGAGGACATCTGGACCAGGGAGGGCGTCTGGACCTCCTCGAAATGACAGACGTGGAGGAGAGAAGCCTGCCTCAGCCCTATCCTTGAATCCAAAGCACACCGTCCACGCTCCCCCGTCATATATGGTGGGGGCACGCGTGAGCAGCGGGTGAGCAGTGGGTGAGCAGCGGGTGACCGGTCTCCATGTTCCGTTTCCCTGGTTGCCAAGCGACCATAAGATGCCGCAACCCTCAGCAGTCAGGCCAGTTTACCCCAGCGAGAGAACACCCATCCGTGCCCCTCCCACTTGTGGTTCTTTCAGTACCAACCAGCACGATGTTTGTTCCATTCCCTGCACCTGAGTCACATGACTCTGCTCGCTGTCACACCCAGAGACCTTTAAGGCAGACATTTAAATAAAAAACATTTTGCACAGTTATTAGCATAACATTCATAGTTTTCTCTAATGCTCGCTCTCTGGTTTCTGGGCATCAGCACTGCTTACTGTAATTACCATGACGACCCGGGTCCCTGTACGGAGCGAATGCAGATATATCATCCGCGCTCCAGCCTTCTCTCTCAGCCGGGGCTGCGGTCGGCCTTAACGCGACCCGCTCGGATAACAGCGAGAGGACGGGGCTCGTCGGGTGCAGTCCGAGTCCCTCTGGGAACACACTGTAAACAGGCAAATGCCGTCAGCGCTAATGCTATCAGACGCGCCGCGGGACTCCCGGAAAGATCCGGAAAGACGGCTGTGAGGACAGGAGCTCCAGGAGACACAAGGCAGGTTGCAGTATAAAATTACCCCAGGACATTCAGGGTTTGTCCTTAACGTTTCACTGGAAAGTATCTGAATTAAAATTCTGTTTCCGCATGAACAGTTGTAGTGGGGTGAATCAGAATAATAAAAAAAAAACTATATAAAAATATATACATATGGTTTGGGACTCAAGATGGGGGGGGATGACTGCAATCTGTTTTAAGGTCTTGGGTAGATGGTATCCATCCATCCATTCATTGCAAGGTTGGGGGGGAGGGGGGATCGATTGTGTGGCCTCTCATTGCATGTCTGCCATTTGAGTACCCCACCCTAAAACTAAAACTATTCATCACACTTTTATGCTGGTTCCAGTTCCATCTGCATGCTTGGTTGAGGATCTTAAATACCTGCTGGATTTCCATTTTGGATAAAATGCATCAGTAATATTAATATGTCTGCCATTCAAAAATGGATCTACACAACCAGGATTTTGCTCTGCCGAGTCCAAGTCCTCAACAAGGAAACCGCCACTCTCCAAAACAGCTGATGGCCACCTGCTGGTTGTTATTGGTACTGCGGTGGATGCGGTCCTACCTAGTGTCAGCCAGATGTCTGTCTCCCTCCTACTCACCTTTTTATAGACATACCAAGACATATAAAAAAAAAAAAACTACAAACTGTAGTGTCACACTCCACACTAACAGAACCCTTGGCTGTCATCAAAGTGTGTAAAATTAGTATGACTTTAGCATAAAGTCAGCCCATGCACGTGTTTTGTTTGGCTCTGCTCAGGTGGCACTCTTTAGTCGCCCACTCCAGTCTGCTTTACTGGATCTCAGAGCCCGTCGGCCGTCATGTGACTCAGAACGGGGCCGTCTGAAGCGTGCTCACATGTGGGAGGGAGCATTACACCGTAACCGGTGCCCTGAGGGCAGGCAGTACAGGGTCCGACATGCAGGATGCCGTCGGTGGAGAAAGTAAATTCGGAGCTCATATGGATGGTACCAATTTTGAAACCAAACCCATACTCTGGCCCTTCATCCAGTCTCCACCTGGGTTACATGTGTGTGGAGTTTGCATGTTCTTCCCGTGTCGTCGTGGGGTTTCCTCCGGGTGCTCCGGTTTCCCCCCACAGTCCAAAAACATGCTGAGGCTAATTGGCGTTGCTAAATTGCCCTTAGGTGTGCATGTGTGAGTGAATGGTGTGTGAGTGTGCCCTGCAGTGGGCTGGCCCCCTGTCCAGGGTTGTTCCCTGCCTCGTGCCCATTGCTTCTGGGATAGGCTCCGGACCCCCCGCGACCCAGTAGGATAAGTGAGTTGGATAATGGATGGATGGATGGATGGATGGATGGATGGATGATACACGATCTGATTCCATTATTTTTTTTTTGTTTCCGGGACAACAATCCTGCCTGTCTGCTACCCCTGCTGATTAGCGATAAAGTTTAACGCTCAAATAGGTTATACAATTACAATTTTACGAATCATTTTACATGTTTTGAATGGTCTTAAGAAAAAATGGAGACCGCTTGTGAAAAGCTTCTCCTGACCGGCGGTTTCAGATTTGCAGAAGCAGCTGGCGATCGTCCCACCGGGGCTCCGCCAAGCCAGTCTGGACCTCCGATCAAACGCCGGCCGTATAAAAAAAAACTTCCTGATCCTCTCTTCCAGATCCACATTACAGGGCTGCCAACTTTGGTCATTTGGCTGGCGTGAGATTTTCAGTTCAAGATAAGTCTGCACAGGCATTTACATGTATGCAAGCGTGTTATTAACTTACAAATAGTCTGTAGGGTTTGCGAACTACCCCAACGCTTTTGATGCAGCCAAGTTTAGGTTCATAATCGAATAATATAGATGTGCTGTAAGATTTCTTGCCTGATCCTGAGAGTCTGAAAGCGTGACTGGCTGCCCAGATGCGTAAGAGCCGGCAGCCCTGACTTACAGTCTGCAGAATCGACGCCCGTATCTCGCCGTCCTCCTCCTGACGGCCCTCAGCTTCCCCCAGGCGCAGATGAAATGCAAACACATCGCTAATTCCCCTGAGCCGCAATAAGCCAGCCTGTGTGGGAGGGTAATATCCAAACAGTCATTTTTAAAAAGAACATATTACACTATTACACTGAAAGCAAGTCGCCCCCCTTCTCAGACACATGAGATTTAAAATTTTAATGAGGCGGCGAAGCCTCCTTCGCTATAGAGCCTCCCCACACACAAACCTCACGCTTATCCGAATTACCGCCAACGCATTCCTTATAAACACACAGACTTTCCCCATAAACATCTTCTGAAACATGTAGAAGGGGAACATCTAGATTCTCTTGACTTGATTAAATTCGATCACTTTGGTTTACACTTAAATGCACAGCTCACTTTTTGCACACGCATGTGTTTGTTGATGCGGTAATGCTCTAGGTTCGGGACTTGCAACCTTCCTTACACCGGGGGGGTTCTCATAGTAGTTTAAAATACCGAAAAGTTACAAAATCTCTCGACAGACCACTTGCGACAGCTTCACAGACCCCAGGTTGAAAACCAGCGGTCTTCCACAACAAGCTATAGCTGTTGATGTGTGTGTGTGTGTGTGTGTGTGTGCGTGCACACACACATGTGATGAAGATCACACACAGACGTGCCCTCGCAAGCCCATCAATCAGCACAGAGACCTCAGCAGCAAGGACCCATCACTAACTCCTGGACAGTAGTGAGTATTATCCTAACAAGAAACCCGCCATACGCGATTGGGGTCATGCCTGTTTTGGATCGTTTTTTGCAGGATTTTCAGCTGTTTCCTCGCTGGAAGCTCCATCAGTCGTCTTTCACTACTCAAACCATCCCCGGTCTCAGAAACAAGGTTTAATAAAGTATTAAAGGACAAACATTCTGCTGAAACTGAAGTATTTAACAATGTCACTATCGATGAGCTGTTTGAAAGTGTGTGTGTGTGTGGGGGGGGGTAAACCCCTCTTTTATGGCCATAATTTCCCCATCAGCACCCTGCCAGCCAGGAAAGCCTCAACCTGGATGACAGTAGAGGAAAAGCAGCGTTTGCCATCTTCAGTTACAGCCCATCGCTCACCGTTGGAACTGAGCCAATAGGGTTTATGAGGGGGTGACACTAGACAAACGAATTCAGCCATGCGGGCAGACGTGGAAACTTATGAACACCACCCCCCCCCCCACCACTAAAATTAAAAATTGTTCATTTCAATGCTCCCTGCAGGCCAGAGACGACATCTGGTTGATATTTATCAACATTTGGTTCAGTGGCTGCTGGCTGGGGCCAGAGATTATGGCCAAACACCTATTCCCGGGGGGGGGGGGGAGATACTCAGGAGGGTGGCTGACAGTGCAGAGGAAGACCTTCTTGCAGAGTGCTTTTTATCCTTTAAATTAAATTTTTTTTTGCTCAGCGAAAGGAGGATTTGAAAATGAGAGTAAGAGAGTAATTGTGTCATCGCTGACAGCTGGGTCACTTCTGTGTTGCGGCGTGCGGTCATGTGACCCACAGCCCTGGAGTGAAAGTAGGCCAGCGGCACACACTCCACCACCAACCCCCCCCCCCCCCAAACCACAACTAGATAACGGCGAAGCCAGCGATGCTGAACAGGGTCTCTGTGCAGGAACTTACCCATCATGCAAAGCGTCACTCGGTGCAGGCGGATGCGGGCAAAGTCTAAATTTGAGGCTAGAGACGGCGTCTCTGATGTCATGCTGCATTTGGCTCCCACCCACGCATACATTTAGCTATCCGGCAGATCGAGAGGAGGCTGATATACTGGTTAAACACAACCTTTTAACCAAAAGATCATGGGTTCAAGTCCTACAAATAGCCCAGTCGTAATGCCCTTCAGAAGAGCTCTTAACTGGAAGATCTCCAGTGAAATAAAAGGGGAAAACTGTATGGCTGTTTTGAGAACCTGAATGTATTCATCCAGAGCTGATGAAATGTCATATGAAAATAAAAATAAAACGCTGGTTAAAATGTCAGCCTGACAAGCTACAGGAGCTCAAGAAAAAAAAAAAATTCAATTTTAAATTAATGTTTAGTTCCTTAGATTATTTTGATGCCCAGAATAAACATTTAATGATGAAACCTCCTGATTAAATTGATGAAGCTTGTGTTTATGTTTAAACAGCACAATTAGAAGACTTCCTAGTGTGTTAATTGGCTCAGGACTCTCAAGCATTTGAACACTGGCACAGCGCACCTGGCTGACAGGGTAAACTCCGAGTAAGCACTGAGTAAGCACTGAGTAAATATGGAATAAATGTGATAGGAGTTCAGTGGAAAGCCGGATAAACTGTAGACAACCCTGAGATCCTGTGCCTAAAATAGAGCCCCCCCCACTATGCCGCAAGTTCAGGAACTGGTTCCGCTTGACCCAAATTGGGCTGCCTCCTTTACGTGACGGGCGAGCGGGGAAGTCCAGACCCGAGAATGCCAGATGCCACTAAGCACTACGGCGGAAGCAGGCCCTCACCGAGGGGGAGGGGGAGGCGGGGGGATGGAGGGCTACTCACGCGCTGATGACGCCGACCCGGAACTGGACGTAGGGGGCCAGCTGGAGGAGGAGACGGACCCCATTCTGCCACTCGTCCTCCTGCCGGAAGCCACAGGCCGGCATCTCACACTCCTCGAAGGAGAACCGGTAGTAGGTGTCAGAGTCCTCGAAGACGACCCGCTGGTCCACTGCAAAGGCAAGCAGGGCTGCTCTCACTCTCACGCACACCAGGACAGGACAGGACCACCCGAGGAAGAGTCCTGGAGACCCGCCCTGGTTCTGTCCATTTCGCCACCAAATAAAACCCAAATTACACAATTTGTATGACATTCAATATGGCTTAGCCTATCGTGTGCCGAGTGAGACCGACGTCCCAGGTGCGGGTAAATACTGGGGCAGTGTGTGGCTCAGCAGGTTTAGGATCTGTGTCTGTGTCCAGGAGGTTGTTGGTTTGAATCCCGGGACCCGGAATAGGGGGACAGGATGAGCGAAGCTCAGAAGGGACCACGTCACTGAAAGACTGGGGATAACCAAGATAAGAGGTGGAGTTAACTAGCATCATTCCTTATACCTTAAACTAACAGATCACCGTCTCATAAAATCCGTTAAAAACACCAAAGCAGCACCAAACTTTCTCCGAGCTGAGCTCTGCTGGGGGACTCCACACACTGGTTGAGAGGAACTGGGAGGGTTGTGAAAGTGAGGCCGACACAGACACCCGTCCCGACATCACGTCACCTTAAAGTGGCCCCGGGATTTCCTACATGACATCCTTTTACATAGACAGAGGGGGTCTCCCGAGGGGGCGTCCCGAGGGGGTCTCCCAAGGGAGCCCAGACGTTCCCTAACCGTTCCTGCCTTTGAAAGAGCGGTGACCTACAAATCCAGCCAGTAAGCGCTTGACCCAGTGCAGGCTGTCAAAGACACTCCTGTTCACCCACATTCATAGATCACAAAATCCCCCCCCCCCAGTCGATATCAGCAACTACCACTGTCTTCAAGAGGAAGCGAGTTTTGTACAGAAAGTATTTTTTCAGTGCTCCGAGAGACCAAAACAATTAAATGGATTTTAAATTTTAAACATTTCTAACTCTGGGGAGTGTCGCCACCCCAACTGACTCCCAGCGTTTTAGAAATGTCTGAAAATCCAAATCGAGCGAAACTCGTCGTGTCCGTGTTTCAGGATGGGGGTCCAGGCCAAACATGCGGCCTCCTCTGCCAGCTCCACTGGCTCCCGACACTGGGGGGGTATTTTAAGCACAAGTTAATTTCCCTCGTGAGTGAGACGTGTCATTTTCAGACACAGCCTGCTCCCAGGGGGGGGGGCAATTTACTGCCGGTTTTATTGTCCCGTTGAGTGAATATTTGATCATTGGAGAAGGACGATATTTCCGAGGAGACTAGTATTACAGTTATGCCAAGCTGCTAACTAGCTGGGTAAATAAACCGTAAATAATGCTTACGGTCCCTGAACAGTTTCTGGAGGTGGATCATGGTAATTACTCTCCTAGATTTTAAATTCAGCACCTATAAATCATTTCCAGTGTCAAAACCTTAAATATTTATAGCCTTTTGTTTACTTTTCTTAATCATGTTCGACTCAGTTTGCCCAGTTAGAGAATATAAATAGCAAGCTTATGAAAATCACTCATGATCATTGTAAGCCTGAAGGTTAGGGAAAAATATAATTACCAAAGAAAACTAATTATCAAGCTGCATTCATGACAATCTGGTGTAAAGCATCTGTTGTACGTTTCCTCTCTAAGGTAAACAAATCACAAACAAGTATTACGGCGGTATGTTATATCATGGTAGCTACATCATTGTGTTGTATGGGAAGGGAGGGAGATTCCTGTTATAAAACCTTATATTAATACCAAGTTACACATGGCATTTTTTAAATATGGTGCTTTTTATACAAAGGAACACAGAGGGAGAAAAAGCCTTTAAAAAGGCTCAGGAAAGATACACTGTATCTCCAGGGCTTGTTATTTTGATCCAAAACTACTGTGAGCATGAGAGGCAGCTGACTCTCACTGCAGTGGGGGCCCAGATAGGAAGTGTTGAAAATACCAGCTGGAAGTTTGTGATGACCTGCCCACTGCGCACAGCTACTTCCCCTGCCCTGGTGTTTGGAGGGCGGGTGCCTGGCGAGGGAGGGGGCAGGCAGGTACACTCACCCGATAGCAGGATGCCCAGCTCCAGCAGGATCTGCCAGACACGCACTGCCATCGTCCTGCACTGGATGAACAGACACTGCTCCAGCAGCCATTGGACCAGCTCCAGACCCTCATAGGTTCTCCTGCAGAGATAGGAACATGAGTTTGCTGCCTGGACACACCTACAGTGAGGCCCCTCCCCCTGAGGGGCACATGACCATACAGCCACGCCCACAGTGTGGCCCCTCCCACTGAGAGGCACGGGATCAGACACACCCACAGTGAGGCCCCGCCCCCTGAGAGGCACATGACCATACAGCCACACCCACAGTGCAGCCCCTCCCACTGAGAGGCAAGGGATCAGACACACCCACAGTGAGGCCCCGCCCCCTGAGAGGCACATGACCATACAGCCACGCCCACAGTGCGGCCCCTCCCACTGAGTGGCACATGACTGTACAGCTACACCGAGTTTGAGACCCCTGCCTTAGCATGTTTATATATAGAAACACCTACAATGTAAGACTCTCCCGCAGTCACATGGATATGTAGACCCATCCACAATATAAGGGCACTTTATTAAAGATCCAGTAACAAAAGTGCCAAACCCGCTGGGGTTCTTCTATGGTACTTCAGTACTTTGGGGTGGGACTTAAAATGCTTTCTTTGTCGATTGGTTATGCAAATAGCCTGCCTCCTGAAACACAATATGAAAACAACGATAAAATGAAATTAAAAAAATAATTGCGATCTGGTCGGAAGAAAATATACAACAAAAAGATCAGGACGGGATAAGAAATTTAAGAAGTGATTTGTTTAATATACTAGGACAGGGATGGGATTTTGTCATAAAAAAAATTGGGGCATTTTTAAATCACATCTAGGAGTGATTTAAACAACAAGGATGAAATGATTATGACTGTCTTGGAGAATCCATGCAGTGGTCATGCAAAGGCGGCAGAGGTAGAAACTTTAAACTGATTTTTAAACATAAAACAGATTATTATGAAAGGAATAATTAAAACTGCAAAGTCTGCTAATAACAACTCAGTGAAACAAACTCCCTGCACTATAATGTCTGTACAGAATTTAAAGTAAGAAAAAGCCTGATCTTACTTCAGCTGCCTAGCGATGTAAGAACTGCATGTACACAACATGCGATGTTGGTATTAATGAATATGGCACATTGGCTTGTATATTACAGGGCAGGACATTTTTCAGGTTCAGTACAAAATACTCCGCCTCACGTTGTGATGTCATTCGGCGTCTGTATCAGTTTTCATGCTGCACCTTGAAGTACTGTACTTCTGGAACTTTCTCAAAGTGCCAAAGTATGGAACCTGGTGTGGTGGAAATGCACCCTAAGTCCCGCCCACATCAGCACACGCACCTCACACCAGTGCTAAAACAGAGACAGCCCATCATCTACCAGAGCTTTCAGAGGAAGTATATAAAGGCATCTCACACGATAAACGTGGCACAGTTATGTCATTCAAACCTGGCTGACACGCCGACGTGTGACAGCCCTATACACCACGCAGGGTGCAAATTCCTGCTATAAATAAAGAGAAAAAAGGTACCTGGCATCAATGCCTTACTATAGCACTGAATGGATCGATCTTCTACCGCATGCACTCGACCTGAGTGTTTGGGTGCTGGGCTTGCAGTCCCAGGAACAGCCTCACGATCTCAGCAAGCAGCCAGGAAGGTTTCAGCAACACGATCTATGCAGTCAGACTCCATATTTGGACTTTCACGTTCCTGCCAGACGGCTTTCAGACAGCTGCGGCCAACGGCGTGACTCACTCCATTATCCCACTCAAATAAGACGCTCCCCTACAATTTATTATTTAAAGCCGCTCTATAACACACCGCACACGCAACATATTACAGGCGCACACCTGCATATCACAGCCCCCGCCATGCCCTACTGGAAACAAGACTGATCCTTTTGTTGAAAGAGCCCATCTTCGTTACCAAAAATCCTCCCTTCGTGGGTCAAAACCCCAGAATGTTACTAGTCTTTCCTGAGGACAGACGTGTCCTGCTTCCATCTCAGTAACACACTAAACACGCTGGTGGTGGGCGGACTTGGACCATTGGCTTCACAAGTCCTTCTCAGCCCCAGCCTCACTGCGGAGGTCAGTGCATGCTGAAGCCAGACAGACGCCGGTTTGGGCACGTCGCTGCCTCCTGCTGTGCGTTCCCCCGTGGAGGGGGGCTGCCGCAGCAAACTGGAGCTACAGACACACAATGACACTGCAGCCAGATGTGGGGGCGTCACTGAAAGCAGAGACTTGGCATTTTTACCCATAATGCAACTGAAATGCAAGAATGCAAACGTGATTGAATTTAAACTGAATCATCACGACTACAGGGTTACACGACCGGTCACACGTGCGCAGGAACCCAAGCAGAGCGTGGGGGAGTGTTACCTGATAATGCGGGCCAGGTGTATCCTCTCCTTGCCGGGATATGGACCGTGGGATAGGAAGGCGTTCCTGAGAGCGCGGCCTGCACAGGGAAAGCTCTGGGAGCAGGCCTGGGAGACAGAGTGGGCCTCTGTTACCAACATGTGCACACACACACACACACACACACACACACACACACACACACACACACACTTGCGTGCAACAATGCCCAAGTCAGAAACTGGAGATGCACTCTGGAAGGAAGGCAAGCCAGATACCATCCCATCCTTCAGCAAAGCTCAGACAGAAGACAAAACTGGTCAAACTGGATCAGTAAGAGCCCCACGATCCCAGCACCGCAGACGCCTGGGTTGTGAGACTGATAAGGGCCGCAGCTGCTCTGAGAGTCGCCACACAGCGCCTCCATAAATAATAATTAACGGCAATTAATGAGCCACCAATGTGGGCTTGTGGGGACAGAATGAAGCAGGACGATGGGGAAGGATGGGCAAGCGGCCCGTCACAAAGAGGCGTCTTCATGGGGAACAGAGCAGGGACCGCGGGGCTCTGAGGGGAATGGTGAGACGGTGCATGCACACAGACACAGGGATAGAGAGACAGACAGACAGACAAAGGCAGACACAGCGATATAGATACAGACAGACAGGCAGACACGCAGATGCAGAGACAGACATACAAACACACTCAGTCAGATAGACAGACAGACACAGAGTCACACCCACAGACAGAGACAGATAGAACACACACACACACACACACACACACAGCACTGTGTGGTTCTCCTGACTTTGCAGGACCTTTACCTTATGCCTGCTGAATCCCACGCTGGGCCCGGGGATAGTGTCAGGGGACTGCTGTCAAGACACAAATCGACTGGGGATGAGAAAAATACGTGACGAACACCCAGTTGAGGGAGGGGCGACCATGCGGCAGGTCACCAGCCCCCAGTGACACCATCCAGTTAGCCACTGCAGTACTGCGCGGCCAAGCTGTTACTCTCTCAATAAATCCATCTTCAGTGACCAATTCCCACCCACCCCTCAACCTACTCGCTGTCTGATCAAAATCTAAATGGCCTCACATCGCATTATAGCCATTTAACGTCCCCCAAAGACAATTCCAGTCCATCCCAAAGAATCACACCCACACTTAAAAGCATTTCATTTACGGCCCGGAGTGCAGGAGTCTGCGGCTCAGCCTGATCCAGGCCGGAGCCCCCGTGAGGCATCAGTGCCGCAGCAGGACAGGCGCTGGCCGGACGCTCAACCTGCTCCTGGGTGGGGCTCCAGCTGAGCTGATTTTCCGAGGATCAGGTGGGAAGGTGGAGCGGGAGGGAATGCGTTCCCAGGGCAAAGTGTGTTCGTGTACCAATACGCACGTCCAGCAGCTTTCCACAGAACCACCAGGCAAGGAATTGCACCGGCAGCGCGGCCTCCCTCAAAGCCCCACACCGGGCTCTCCGGCTGGCTGAGGGAAAGGCACCATCAGCCTGGTGTGGATTACGGCAAGATTAAAGCTTTGGGCCTTGAGACGGGCTTTACTCGCCGGCCCGTTAAACCGGCACGCCGCAACTCGTCCCTCTCAGATAATCCCGTCACGCCCAATGAGATGATGCCACTAAATCACCAGCGAATCCCATAGAAGCGTGAAGGAAAAAAAACACTACATTCTCAGGACCGAAATTACACTCTTACCAGTGTCACTGGGTCGGAAAGCACAGGAGCACTGGGATACGCACACTGTATGCCTGCCAGAAACCTTAAGGCAGATATTAAAAAGTAAAATCTGCGAGACAGGGCCACTGACGTCCTATATGCACTGAATAATAAAGAGTCTTTAAAAAATGTACATGATGGAGATCCGGTCGACCAATGGGCGACGTCGAGTCAAGCTGAAAACTGTTGTTTTTCTAGCCAACGGCGGGACAGACTTAAGTCACACGCAGATTTTAAGAGGATAAAAACGAGGGTGGGATGAGCGAATGTTCAGCGAGCATCAAGCCAGATACTAAATAAGTAAAGCATAACGGGCATTGTGTAGGAACTCGCGCACACACGTCACAGGGAGATGCAGAACTCGGCTATGGTAATTAGTGAAATAATTCCAGCAGGGATTATATGTTATGTAAAAGGTGTCCATCTCAATATCTTACAGCTACTGAAACAATCAAATACATTGCGAAAATACAGTCAAACAGATCCATACTGGAAAAGTGCCAGTCTGGCTGGTCGGGATTCCGTTAGTTGTTTCCACAAAGGATCAGTTGGTGACCGCGGTTAAGAGACTCAAATTAAAATGTAACACACGAGTCTATTGTTTGTATTTGCCTAAATCCCAACGTCGGATTAAATCATTGATGCTTAACTGTTACGTTTTAAATTGGCATTTTAAATTTGTGTGACTTTTCGCGAGCTCAACTCATTGTGATTCCACGGTTTAATAAGAGCTAGCAATTCATCAATTAAAGTTTTAACAGCTGGATTAATAGTTAATTGCTACAACTGTGAGCGGGAACTGGACGGGGGGGGGGGATACAGCAATCATGCAAAACCGGGTATTACTGCATCTACATATTTTAGATTGGTGAGTTTTTTTATGCACAGCCGTGCCATTTTAATAAAGCTGGTTTTATGAGACATAATCAGAGCTGGATGTTATTCCCGGTGTTATTCACGCTCAGCGCAGAATCCCGGCTTCCACCGCCTCATCACAGATGGATCTAAAATCTGGAGCTTCGCGGTTCCTCACACCAAAAACTACACTTTATTCCCATTTCTGCACGCGCTCCATTGGTTCCTGAATCTCATCCTGTCTCCCCACAACGTTAACAAGAGCTTCAGCGCCTTGATCATAACCGAAAAAATAATAATAAAAAAAATCTGCTACAAAATCATTAAAACACAACATTCATCCAAAACTGAAGTACATAAGACATCAGCAGCTTCTAACGGGCTTTTTGTTTACAAGACAGAAGGCCTTCATAATTACTTCAGGCAGGACTTGTGTCTCAGGACATCATGATGAAATCTGGGCTCTATGATGTTATCCTGTAGCAGTAATGACCATCATCTAGTAAGATGCTTCTTTGAATCCATATATAACCTGGCATCCCACAATCCAGCCCCGCAGAATATTTTTACTAAGAATCCAGTATTTCTAAAGGGACAATAATGATGCTGTTGATTGGAGGCAAAACGGCGCCATTGGACTGCAGTAACGGCACAACTGATAAACGACATAGAGCGCAAGGTTTCCCGGGGGGGCTCGAGAGCGCCGTCTGAGTCGGGGCCGTCCTCACGCGCGCCTGATTCAGCCTGCACGAGGCCCCCGCGGCGCCCACACTTCCCAGGAGCGAGCGGGATCTGCCTGCGGATTATCGCGGCAGCTGCCTCCCCCTCCCACTCCCACACGCGGCTCCCAGAGTCTCATAAACGAGCCCGATACAGACCTGGTACTCATTCCCCAGCTCGCGTGTGCCGGGATTCCTGTCACCATGTGACCATGGCTAGTGTCATCTCTGCTCCAGAAACAGTTCAGCCCACAAAGGTTATGGGTTTGAATCCCATGACTAGCAAAGCAACCATACCAGCACTGGTCCCTTAACCCCAGCTGCTTCAGGACGATGCCTAATCCTGCTCTATACCGTCAATATTGCCTGGCGTGACTTGAGAACTGACTGGTTACCATTACAATCCACGCACGCTGCTCCACCTGCTGAAGGACGCTTGACCAGCAATCAAGATATTTTTCTTCCCGAGTTTCTGACAAGCATGCAGTCCATCCTAGGTGTTCAAGGACCTACGATAGCAATTATTTCAGCTTCGCTTGACAGATCATAAAGTACTCCCGTCCATCTTTGCCAACGGTCATTACATGGCTGAGCAACCACCCAAGACCCCCAGGTGCACGCACGTGTTGCAAAATAATCCGGCTGAGTGGCCCTTGCAGTTTTAAAATGATAGGACACATTTGGCACGATTAAGTTGCACCTAGTAGCAGAAGTACTTTCAATTTCCCAACCTGACTGAAATTTACTACGTTGTTCTCTGGATTTCAAAAACACGATAACGCGGGTATCGTTTTACTAGTAATCACCCCCAACACTGCCAGGATCAGTAATTATTTTCCATTAAAATAAATGCATTTTTCATTTAAAGACCGTGCCATTTTGAGCTACAAGTCCTCCGGATAAGTAGAAAGATGCTGTTTAACCAGAAACCAACATCCCAGGAGGGTCAAATATAAGTCAGGAGGTTGTAGATTACCGATCACCGGTGTCTTAGACACGGCGAATTATCTAATTAATAAAAATGCATGAAATATAATCAAATCGAATCTAATGCATTAATTGCATCCATGAATTCATTCATTGCTAAATGTACGCTGCAGTATAACCTCGCGTATTTTGCTGCCATGCATCCTAGGGGCGCATGCAAGGGAGGCAACCGCCCCCTGGACGCACCCGACGCAGACAGAGGAGCCGGGCTCCCGCTTACGGCAATCCACGGACCCACAGCCCGTCGCGAGGCGCTTGCACGCCTCCGAGCGCTAATGAACGGCACACGGTGACCGGGAAGCGGCGGCCGCACTTACACTTTTCCTCCGCAGATGCAGCCCGTGTTTCAGGAGGGCGGGCAGGTCTCGGATCTTCTGTTTGAGCTGGACCTGCTCTTTGGCGTTCCTGCCCCAGCGCCAGGTCGCCAGGTGGCCGTCCTCCGGCGCGGAGGAGGGAGCGCCGTCCGCTGCCTCCTCCATCGCCCTCCCGCAGGACTCACGGAGAGCGGCCCCGGATCGCCGATCCCCCGAATGCGCATCCGCTCCGCCCCGCGCCGCCCGTCCGCTTTGCGCTCCGGAGCAGCCTACGTGCATACGGTGCCAGTGAGCTCATCCACAGGTGCAGGAAATATCGCTGCATCACTTCCACCCTCCCTCCACATTCCCCTCCACCCTCCCTGGGGGATATTCACGGACTGGGTGTTGCTGGCTTTTGGTCAACCTCCATAACACGGCACCACTGCGAGCGGCAGCTTCGTACGAGTTTCCTCCTCCCCCATAGTGCATTCAAAACCCCATGCGTGCATGCATGTATGTATGTCTGAATGAATATATGCATTATAACCTGGCCAGTCTCCGGAGAACAGCCTGTTTCATTTAGACTAATACCTGGAAAACCGCCGTAGTCGGATGCCTAATTCATTCAACCTGAACGGATGCGCTACTTTTCATATGCAGTTAATTTAAGGCTTTGAATGTTCAGGAAGGGCTCTACACTTGGATAGAGGCTTATAATTCATTATTTTAAAATGAGCTAATGTTTAAAATGAGGGGAATGTAACCTGACTCGAAACCGGATTTTCCACATGTCAGTGTCTAAGAGTAAAGATGACTTAAAGTCACTACAAACCCATGAGGAATATCTGCATTTCTTTCAATGAAGCGTCGTTTGAACGATTGTTCAAACGATTGTTTTGCGATTCAAAGTAACGACATTACTACTGCCAGCTGTACTTTATCACAACCGATTAGCCTATATAATTAAATGTCATGTTCCAACCACAAATAAACATATGTAATTCCTCAGAACTAATAACATTTATACATTTGTTCACAGTATAGAGTACAAATGAACAAAATACGACAAAAACTGATATTTTACTACCTATTAATATCACCTGGAAGACAATTTTAATTATTATACTTCATTTTTAATTGGGCACTTCGCTGTATTCTACTGTTACTCATCATATGATTGGCGTGTCTTATATAATGTCATTATATAAGCATTAAACACGCAAAAGAGCATAAATTGACGCAGACATTGTACAGGTGAACCAGAGCGTAGGATTTTACGTTCAACATTGGGCTCGAATCATTTAAATTAAATTAACATTGATAAATTAACTATGTACTCTCTTGTAGTGTATGTTGCTATGGATAGAAACTAACTGACATTAATTAGTTGGAACAGAAACAGTAAAGTTGAGTTATTTCTAGCTATATAATGACAGAAAGGGAGCTTTGGATCCCTGCGTGGGTGGGAGTTACCATGGGCTGACAATCACTGCTTCCAGCCAATGAGAGCAGGGGAAGTGGCCAATGAGATGTGACAGTGACCCATCAGTTTAGAATCCAAAGCCTTGGTTCTGTCATTGGAAGCCCTTTTGTGGTTGGGGTGATGCTCTGTGGAGCCTGGCTGGGAGACCTGCGATTGTCCGCGTGAAATGGTGGGCAGGCCATCAGCTGGTTCAGCTGCCTTTGGAGTCTGTCCAGATTTATGAATATTCACCTGCTGCATCTGTTCAGATATAGGATGCAAAATATAAGAGCAAGGAAGAGGCTCCTAGCGTCATCTCGCCATTATTAAGTGGTGCATGTATTATACAACCAAATATAATGTTAAAAGGCTTGGTACCTTTTACTAGTCTGTAAAGCACAGGCTCACGTTTGTAGTCCAAAAATTATTTATTAGTTGTTTCAAACCTTGCAAAAAGCACTTGGATTATTTTGAGGATGGAACTTTTCATGAAATGTCTCCCAAAACTCCAAACCACAGAGCTTCCAGGATGTGAACAATTTTGTGAATGGACACAAAATTCCCCTTTGGTCTCAATACGCAACATTTTCAGAATGAAGAAAATATGATCCCTGTTCTCTTCGGACCATCGGCTAGGTGATCCGCCTTGTGTGATACACAACTCTTGTTTTGTTTGTGTTGACAAAGTGCTTGCATATCTAGAGAGCTCATTCCCAGTCTTAAAGACGGATTTGTTTTGTGTACAAAACAAATTAGGAGATGAGGGGAAGTGAGACATCATTAAGTTTAAATGGGATTTTCTTTAATAGGCTCCTCTGTGACACAGCTATTCTGAATGACACTTCCTTCCCTGTTTTTCCAAAAGCCTCCAGTGTCTCATTGCAGCGATATATATGCCATGTAATCAAGACGTGCATCCTAAACATGCCTGCGAGGCTCAGTGTGACCCATTAGCGGCAGCGAGAGGAGCTGGGAAAAGACAGACATCCACTGAAATCCCACAACCTCCTTATTCAGGAGAGCCCATCACCCATCCTGACTACACAGCTCCCCTTGTTTTCTTGGGGGCTGTACTGATCAAATGCCTATGCTCCAATTTACATTTTTTTAGCACACTCCAGAACAACATACATTTTTCAGAAAGCAGGGTTGGACAATTCTGGAAGGAACTGAGGGTTAAGAGTCTTGCCCACTTACCAACCCTGAGATTTGAACCAGTGACCTTCTGGCTGCAGACACAGCAGCTTAGCCTGGTGAACCACACAACACCTTGCTAGAGGCTCAAATCAGCTTTTACTAAAGCAACTAAACATTATTGCACAGTTATACAGCAGGGTGGAGTGGTGTCTCTGAGGCTAGGGATCTGTGCCAGCAGTTGGAAGGTTGCTGGTTTGAATCCTGTGAATGCCACCGGTGATTGTACTCTGTTGGGCCCTTGAGCAAGGCCCTTAACCTGCAATTGCTTCATCCTGGGTATGATGTTAATCAACATCCAGCCCTATAAGGAGGTCCTTCAACTTACAGGGAAATTTGGGGGCTGGTGGCAGGATTGGCACTCCACCCACTCAGTGTGGTGCTGAGGTATAACCCACAGCCCAGCTGCACTCAGGATCTCATCCCTGAGCTGGTTTGTTGTGTGGTGGGTGTGGCAATGCACTGTAATCATTCAAGGGTACAACAAAAAGGCCCCTTTTGGATCGTAGAGAACTAAGAACTGAACCACAGTATCTGCTGCTGATCCCAACTATGGACGAGGCCTAGGTGCTGTTGACGTTATTGGTGGGAGAAAAGGACAGTCACCTAAGAAAGCTGGTCTCTTCCAAACGGATTCAATGTCACTTGCACCATCATTAAACAGTATATTGCTGTGAACCACAAACCGTCTGGTGAAATGCTTTTCACGGGTAGAAAGGCGTTCCTTCAGAAGATCATTGAAGCTGGAGTTTCATATTGCTGACATAAAACTGGCATTTCTTTGCCATGTAACCAAGTTTAAGTGGACCATGTGTAGTACCATCTGGTGAACTAGGGGGCATAGTAGTTAGAGGCACTACCTTCTAACCTGAAGCCATTCAAGCTGCTATCCTTCAGTAACTGTTCCAGCCATAAAGCCTAGAATAATAAAAAAGTGAGCTAAGCAGCTAAATCTTCCTTAACATTTCACGTCACACTGGCCCATTGTGGAAAAGTCTCCAAGCTTCTGTACAGGTCTCTGGTCACTACTGCAAAAGATTTAACTGATTAAACTGGAATAACAGTCAATGGCAGGTAAAGATTTCGTCAAGAACAAAACAGTTCCGTTTCCTGTGCATCGTGTATGGATACGATATTTCTTTTTTTCTGCATGTGCTGAGCCTGTCAGGCTCGGCATCACTTGAAAGCGAAGATTTTGTATGTATAGGAGCGAATTTCTGCTGCCCCCAGACAGCCTTTCATCCCGACCGATAACGCCCCCCCCCTCCCCCCCTCCATCAAGCACAGTGCGTACATCGCTCTTCAAACGGAGCCGTGATTAAATATTGAAGAGTGCCTGTGGCAAATGGAGGGGAGATACAATCCCAATTCCGCCAAAACAGCGTTTAGAGAGAGAGGCGAGGATCATGTGAAAGGCGAGTCCGCGCATCCCGCGCTCCCGGTTCAGTGCCGCTGTATCACAGTCATTGCCTGGCTTTCCCGGTAGCTGCGGATTGTGGTCCCAAATCGATCATGGCATTGTTATGACTCAAGTAATTGCCTTTTGCACGGTACCAAGCAATCTACGCTCATTTTCAATTAGCTATTGGCAAGAGAGTCGAAACAGAATTGGCAGTAACACCAGTAGTCTTTATCTTTATAAATAGGCGGTAAATATATGCGTAAATAAAAGAGCAGGCTACAGTATGAAAACTGAAACGATAAATTCTTAATTTTCTATAAATTCTGCGTGCATACAGGAAAGTGTGTCCATTCGACCTAGTGCTTAGCGTAGTATTTGGTCGCGTAAGTGTTAGGTCATATACATAAACTTGGAACGACTACTTTTGTTATTTTGAACTGATGCATAATTCGGGATTAATATGTTGAGGCACGTCAACTATGCATGTCAGCTGGAATCAATGACAAAGTTCACTCCTTCTTTCTCGTGTTTCAGGTGAATGTGAGGTGAGCCCCCAAAGGAAACGCATGGATCAAGAAACCATAAGATATTCAAGAATCAATAATTTTAGCGTGAAACCGGCGTACATCGTACATCTCGATGTAGTAGCTACATCAAATAACCAGCTTTCGGGCGCCACCTAGTGTACACTCGCTCTTAGTAATTTACTCACCATTGGCAGCAAAAGCAGGTGACACATGTTCATATAAACCACGTTTCTCTGCTCTGACAGAGGAGCTTGTGCTTGTGCCTTTATCTCAACTTTACTTCGTCACAAAGCCCTGGATTGGATCAAGGCAATCTGCTGATGTTTCTATGGCAACGGCCGGCCACGGGCGTTTTTGGTGGCCTACTGAAACAAAAAGCGATCTGACCTCCGATCTTAGTGCGAAGCTTTCTGTTGCAGAAATAGTGCCGCTCGTTAGCATTTCTTCCAGTAGCCTATTAGACGAACCCACAGCATGGACACTATTATATCCAACTGCTCGTTAATGCAAACCATCGGCATATCAGGGCATAGGTTTGGTTTCAACATCGGTGGGGGCCAAGTCAGCCCCCGCCCTCTCCTAAACACACAAGGTAACCTGCTCCTACAGCATTGGTAGCCACATGTCCCTATAGTCCATACGAAAATCTACACCCTTTTCTGTCAGAAAAATGGGTACAGACAAGGTACAGACAACATAAATATACCCCAATGGTACAAAATGTTGCTGAGTCTATTTCTATACCTTAAATTAAACTAAAAGATCTAAATTTACTTTCAGCTAGAGTACAATTGGCAGACTCTTGAGGGTATAGCCTGAGTGACAAGCAATTTGCACCCTCAAAGATACAAATTGGTCCCTCCGCACCTCCAAACGTGATCGAGGTTTAGTTACTGTGCATCTGAGAAACAGACGCCGATTTTAAACGTGAAGTGATTGTTGGTGCTCGAGGAGGTGGGGCCCAGTATCTCAGCATTCCTGCCCCCGCCCTGGTTGGTAAGTTTACCCGCTGGCACCCCGCTCTTTGATTAGCAGATTAATGATGTCCCATAATTTTTTTAATCCCCCTCCTTTCTCTTTCGATGCCAAAAAATAACTTGAATGGCC